AAATCAGCTTTGTATCTCATGAATATTTGTAATAAATAAATAAAATTAATTTTAAAAGCCTATTATTGAAACCTGCAACAAACAAACAAATAAATAAATAAAACATCCCCTAAATTTAGTTTTCTTTTTGCTAAATTTTACAAGTTGCTATTGTTCCCATTACCAAATCTGTTCCTATCTCTCAGGTTTGGGAGGAGGTTGGTGCTCAGATGGTGTTACCTTCAGCTCGCCACTGCTGACACCTGTGCAGCCTTTGCTCCTACCTTCCTCATCTATTGCTTACTACGCTTCTTGGCTGGGATTTCTGTCCGGACCATCATGGCAAATAGTGTTACCCTCAGTAAGTCAGCACTTTGGATCTTGGGCATTTAACAAGCCTTGACTTTGGCCTTGAAATTCCATCTTTATTGAAGTAAAAATTCTGTTTTTGTTTTCTTTCAGCCATGGAATGGACAGTGCCCCGATTCCAAGCCACGGTAGCAACACTTACAACTGGTATGTCTTCTATCGCACAGATAATTCTGGGAGGATTGGCTTTTGCCATTCGTGACTGGCACACTCTCCAGCTGGCGGTTTCTGTACCATTATTTGCCGTCTTTCTGCTCTCAAGGTATCTTGCTATTTTCCTTTGTTTTAGAGGATCCTGAGATGCAAGGTACATAGAATTAAAACATGTTAATTCTGTTGGGCCCTTGGTCAGCACTTAAACATGTGTTCTACTAATCTGTGACCTCTGTGCAATTTGAGAAGCATAGCAGATAGGGTTGTAANTCCCAAATGGAAGAAATGCCTCGTGCTTGAGAAAGTTCTGGGAGATTGACCCCTTTCTGGGTTTCTCACTGCTCAGAAGAGATGGGCTTTGAGTAATCTTTGGCGGCTCTGTCACCCAGGCGAAATAGGGGTGACAAATCCATGGGAGGCAAAGCAACAAACCTTCCCTGAATAAGAGGACATAGTATGAACTTTAGTCTGCATTGCCTGCAGAGCAGGTATACTGCATGGGAGACTCATTCTCATACTGACTTAGTAATGGTTTGACAGTGTAAGTTTATATTTCCTGGTATAACCAAACAAGTGGTGGATGTTAGATGGGAGAGAAAAAGCATCTCAGTATAAATGTCACATGAAAAATAAGCAAATGAGAGTTGACTGCACATTTCTCCTCTTCTTTGATCAGGTGGCTGGCAGAGTCTGCTCGGTGGCTGATTATCAACAACGAACCCAACAAGGGCTTAAAGGAACTTAGAAAAGCTGCACACAGGAATGGAATAAAGAATTCTGAGGACATCCTAACCATGGAGGTGAGCAGGAAAGTGAGCTGTTGGTTGGATGTAGAAAAACATAATCTGACATTTACACCAGTTGATGTCCACGAGGTAAATCAAGGGTGGTAACGCAGGTCTGATTATGGGTCTTCTTCCCGGACTTCATTGTCCTGGTTCTCAGTGGGTGTTGACATTGTTTGGATTGACATTCAAAGAAAATATGTTGATGCTGAAAGAATAGGATACAGATATTTTACTCAACAGAGGCAGAAAGCACTCAGTATTAACAATTGTAAACATTGTATATTGGTCTCATTCTAAGACAAAAACTGATCCATTCCTTCCTGGTTAATATTCTTTGGGTCTTTTTTTTCTTCAGGGTGTAAGGCCAGTAGAAGGAAAGGTTAGTGACCACAGAATAGAACATAACAAAGTTCACTTATTTGTTCATTCAGTAACACACCCTTTCATTCGTGGCATATTTTCTGAGTGCCTACATGTGAGAGGCTCTGTTCTATCCCTGGAAATATGGCAGTGGCCTCAACAGTTCAATTTCCTGCTTTGTGGAGCTTATATTCTACTTATTGCAAGTTCCAAGAGCATGACTGAACAGAAATGCCACAGAGAATTTTTTCTCTCTTTTTTCCCCCCATACTAGACAGGGAAAGCAGATATTACTGTGGGTCATAAAGTAAACCATTTATTATAGCATGCACATATATAAACTATGTATTTAAAAATTATAATGTGCTAGGCATGGTGCTTGATCATGAATGCCAGTATAAGTCAGGGTCCCACGCTTCAAAAAGCTTTCATATTAATAAGAGAAAAAACTAATAAATGTTTTAAAATAGAAAAAGTAATAGGTGTGGCCAAAATCGGCTAAAATGATGTCTACTCTCCTAACAAATTTTTAAGTATGTGATGCCATATTGTTGACTATAAGCGTGTTGTTGTATAGTGGATTTCCAGAATTTTTTTCAGCCTCTATCACTGAAACTACATTGATTGAACTACAATTTCCCATTTTTCTTTTCGACTAGCACCTAGCAATAACCATTCTACTCTGTGATTTTCTGAGTTTGGCTATTTTAGATACTTCAATAAATAAAATCATGTAGTATTTGTCCCTTGTGCTTGGCTTCTTTCACTTAGCGTAATGTCCTCAAGCTTCACCCTTGTTGCAACATATGGGAGGATTTTCTTCTTTTTTATGGCTGAATAATATTCCATTGTATGTATATAACACACTTTCCTTATTCATTCATCTGTTAATGGACACTTAGGGTCCCCCCCCCAACTCTTGGCTATTGTGAATAATACTGCAATAAATGTGGGTGTGCAAATACCTCTTCTAGATCCTGTCTTCCATTATTTTGGATATATATCCAGAAGTGGGATTGCTGGACCATATGGTAGTTCTATTTTTATTTCTTTTTTGTTTGTTTGTAATGATAAGGTAATGTAAAGAATGCTAATGGAGACAAGGAAAAACATTTACCCTTTTAACTGGAAAAAGAGAGGATTAGAATATAGCCAGTAAAAGAGAAGGAATAAAATATTTTTAAAGCTCTCATTGGGTCAGGCTGGTTCCAGAGATGTCCTGCTCTTATCTGCTCCCTGAAACCAAGCATAGCTTGAAACATTCCAGAAATTTCTCTAATATCTTGCAAAGAAAAAAAATTGTGGGCCTTCTGGGAAGATGATGGACTAGAGGTGCCCAGGGCACATTCCTCCCACAGAAGAAGATTAAAACGGGTCCACCCCCACTGCTGCTGCAGTCACTGGGGCCATTGTCCAGTCCCAGAACCATAACCCATTGCAAAGCAACTCCCTGCAGAGAAGCAGTCCTGTGGGTGCTCCATTGCAGCAGCAGCAGACTCTACAGATGTGAGAGAGGTGGCTGCAACCATTGCTCCCATTGCTGCCAATGCAAGTTAACCCTGCTGCTGCCAAGGACACTGCAGACATGAAAGACAGCTGTAGCCACTGGTGCTGCTGCTGCTGCTGCTGCTCCCATGAGGTAACCCCACTGCTGCCAAAGACACTGCAGATGTGAGGGAAGCGGTGGCAGCTGATGGTGACATTTCTACCAACATGAGGTAACCCTGCTGTCTCCAAGGACACCACAGATGTGACGGAGGCAGTTGCATCCACTGGCACTGCTGCCACTGCCAAGAGGTGACCCTGATGCTGTCAAGGACATTGCAGATGCAAAGGAGGCAGTTGCAGCTGCCAGCACTGCTGCCACCCCCACAGGTAACTCCGCTGCCATTGTGGATACCACAGACGTGGGAGGCAGTTGCACCTGCCAGCATAACTGCTGCCCTCATGAAGTAACCCCACTGCCATTGGGGACACCACAGACATGAGGGAGGCAGTTGCAGCCACCAGCACTATTGCCACCCCCATGAGATAATCCTGCTGCCACCAAGGACACTGCAGATTCCAGGGAGTCAGTTGTAGCCACCAACATGGCTGATGACCATGAGGTAACCCCCCTGCTCCTGAGGACACTGTAGCTGTGTGGGCTGCTGCTGTGGACACCACAGCCAAGCAGGTGGCTGCTGCATCCACGACTGCTGCAGTTGTTGCCATCACTTGTGCTGCCAGGCAGCCACCATTGTTGTGCAAGCAGCCTGCCACCACTGGGGCAACTGCTGCCACTGCAAGGGTGGCCTTCCACCACAGCAGCAGCCACAGCAGTCACTGCCACTGAGCAGGAATACTACTGACCACTTGACTGCATTGACAGAAGGAGGGCCACCAGTGGAGTCCAGGGAAGGGGTGCAATGGAAGAAGCAACTGCACTACCAGGTGACCAGACATTAATGTAGAGATACGAGAAATATAAAAACAAAACAACAACAACAAAACAAACAAAAAAACTAAAACAAGAAAATATGAATCTGCCAAAGGAATACAATGACTCTTAAGTACCAGACCCCATACAGACGGAAACCCTTGAAATGACTGAAAATGAAAAGGAATTCTGGGTAAAAAATCTTAAGGAAACTCAATGAGATACAAGAAGATGCAGTTAGATGACATAATAAACTAAGCACAACTATCCAGGATATGAAAGAGGAAATTTACAAAGAGATTAATACTTTAAAAAACAATGTGGCAGAACTTATGAAACTGAAGGAGTTATTCAATGAGCTAACACACCTGGGAGATTAAACAGCAGGCTAGAGCAAGCAGAAGAAAGTATTTATGATCATGAAGACAGCCTCTTCAAAATGACTGAGGCAGACCAAAAGAGAAAAAGAAAAAAGAATTTTTTAAAAATGAAGAAAATCTAAGAGAGATAGCAGACAATCTTAAGCACACAAACATCCTAATCATGGGTGTTCCTGAAGGGGAAGAGAAAGGAAAAGACATTGAGAACATATTCAATGAAATAATAGTGAAAATCTTCCCAGGTATAGGGAGAGACACAAACCTTCAAAATCAGGAGTTTCAGAGATCCCCGAACAGATTAAATCCAAAAAGTTCTCTCCAAGGCACATTATAGTCAAACTGGAAAAACTCAAAGACAAAGAGAGAATCCTAAAAACAGCAAGAGAAAAAGCATCAAGTCACCTATAAGGGAGTCCCCATCGGACCAGCAGCAGACTTCTCAACAGAAACTCTACAGGCAAGAAGAGAATGGGATGATATATTCAAAATATGAAAAGTAAAAAACCTGCCAGCGAAGAATACTATACCCAGCAAGGCTATCCTTCAGAAATGAAGGAGAAATAGTATGTTTCCCAGACAAACAAAAACTACAATTGTTCACCACTATGCAACTGTAGAGCTAGGGCTAGGTCTGGAGCTCACAGACCCTTCGAGCCCATTCACAAACCCTTCCCATGCAGGTCTATGAGCTAGATAACTGGCAAAAAGGTCCTTGGAGCCTTGGCTGAGGTAGAAATAGTCTTTATTCAGCACACACATGTCT